TGACTCTATCCTTTAACTCTCATGCTCTCTATGACTTTACTATAATCTCTACTTATTATCGCTGTACAATTGCGCCTACCAAACCTGTGATGTTTTGTGGGGTTCCCTCTTACCCTTAACCCCACAGTTGGTTTTAAATCATTTTATTGGGGGATCTTACAGGTCTTAATAACATCCCACACATCAATGGTAGCAAGCATATCTGTACATATGTTGCCATCATCACGGATAATTTCTTACGGTCCTGTTTATCTGGATCAGTTCTTTTTTCTATGCTTTATATGATCTACATTCTGAGGACAAACAATTTGTCAGAACATTTTAAGGAAACAACTTGAGCTCCTTGGAGTGAGAGCTAAACTATAAATCAGGACTCTAGGTCAAGTGCAGGAGACATGGTAATGATATGGGTTAACTAATGGACTGCTAACCCCAAAGTGAGCAGTTCAAACCCACTCTCTGCTCTGAGGTAGAAAGATGAGATTATCTGCTTCCACAAAGATTCATAGCTTGGAAGTCCTGTGTAGTAATTCTACTCTGTCCTATATGGTCTTTATAAATTTGATCTGGTTTTGTTACTTAATAACCAATTTGCAAAAAAACCCATTTTATGAAAAGATTAATGTACCTGATGACCAACTAATCACATTTACCAAAATTATGAATTCTTATTAAAGATATAGTTATGAATATTTAATATTATCAGTGACTATATTTTCTCTTATGACTATATTTATTGACCATATAAATCCAATGTACAAATTTTTTATAAGGACAGACTTATTTTGAGAATATAGCTTTTAAGAAGACAGTTTTTTAAAGAACATTACCTTTTAAAGAAATTTCTTTAAAATATTCAGAGCATATTATTTCAAACATATTCAATGAATATAATTAGTCATTTTGTCGTTTGAATATATTTTAAATATATTTCATCATGATCCCTTAAGAATACCAAATATAGCATTTTATATGGGAAATGTAAGTCTGTGTTTTTTCAGCTTTAGCATATTTAGGGTGGCTTTAAGTGGCCCTCATGGTTGAGGGAGTGAAATATCAGGCTGCTAAGTGAAAGGCTAGTGGTTCAAACCCACCAGCTGCTCCATAAGAGAAAGATGAGGCTGTGTGCTCCCGTAAAGATTCACAGCCTGAGAAACACTACGGAGTACTTCTGCCATGTCCTGCAGACTCTCTCTGATCTGGAATCTTGACGAGCAGTTTGAAAACTGATTTGAGAAGTGATGGGACATAGGGCTGCCTAAGGGACAGTTTGGCTTGATCAAAATAGAATAGGGGGAATATATCTGGCCAAGAAAGGATTCTTTGATAGCGAATTCAGGGAATACTTAGAGTGTGATTGCTTTTATATAGGGAAGGAGATCGTTCACCATTATCCTGGGCACTCACCTTGTTCGTTTCCAATATATCAGGAGAAAGACACCTCCTAAAAGCAGGATGACAAATATGGTGACCGCCACTGTAAAAGAAGAGAACTCAGCTGACATCACGCCAAAAGTCCCAGCGGATTCATTTTTATAGCTCATTTCATTGGGGGCTTGGACAGCTCTTATCACAATCCATACATCCATCCACTGTGTCAAGCACAGTTGTACATTTGTTGCCATCATCATTCTCAAAACATTTGCTTTCTACTTGAGCCCTTGGTATCAGCTCCTCATTTTTTCCCTTCCCTA